ACTGTCTTCCGTGAAATTTCGCTAACTAAGTTTTATTTCATTTATTTCGGCAGAAAACGTCAGCTGCTTTTTAAAAGTTTCATATCACATTTCAGGCCTCCAAGATAAGCACTCTCTTCTTTAAAATAGAATTATTTTTTTATCAAATTTGTAACTATGCAAGTTTGCACGAAATGTGCTTTGGAAATACTTGCGACTAATATCCAATATGAATAAGTTGTTGTGTATAATGTTTGAATGAGACATGTTCGTATTATGCAAGCAATGAATGCGTACCGATCCCTTTTCAACGCTAATATATCTAGAAAATTTTGCTCAATTGTCAAACAGCAGGCGATGTTGTTTCTTATAAGCAACTGTCTGCCAGTACATTGGTAAAATTGAATACTTTTTTCAGAATTGGCAAGAAATTACTCGGATCAATATGCGTTTCATCTGTTTCTTCTTCCTCTTCCGACTGTATAACACTCAAACAATGGTAAATTCATTTAAAGTAGAAGAAGTAGAGCTGAAATATACAGAAATTTTAGCACAGCTTAGGGTTGATAATTTTATACAATTTAAGGAACCAGAAACAGAACCGCTGGATTTATCAATGTCAAGAGTGTGCGGTGGAAGGATTGAACCATCAGATGTATCAATACCAGAAGTGAGTGAGGGAGAAATAGAACCCAGCGAAATTAATCAGGAAAACACAAGATTATTGAACATACCAATTCAAGAAGCTGGCAGGAACAAATCAGTATAGGAGATATGCCGAAGAAATTCTGGTCTAAGAGATATCAAAATGAAACATCCAACATCCAAACATTCAAAAGGAAACATCCAGAAAATACGACCCACACAAGTGCGAAGCAGTTCAAATGCGAAAAGGAAGATTTCGTTGCGCTACCGAACACATATGTGATGAATCATACTGACAAGAAATCGTACTGTTGTCCGAAATGTGGGAGGAATTTCACCCCGTTATCGGTTCTGAATGAACATATGAAGATTCATACTGGTAAGAAATCGCACTCTTGTCCGGAATGTGGGAAGAATTTCACCCAATCGTCGAGGCTAAATGAGCATAAGAAAATTCATACCGGTGTGAAGTTGCATTCTTGTCCGATATGTGGGATGAATTTCGCCCAGACAGCGGGTCTGTATCATCATAAGCAAATTCATGACGGTAAGTTGCACTCTTGTTTGAAATGTGGGAAGAATTTCACCCAGACAACGGGTCTGTATCAACATAAGAAAACTCATACCGATGAGTTGCATTCTTGTCCGGGA